AGTGCACTTGTGTCCAATTTATCCTGCAGCTCTCCACAGAGCTTCATTCTATGGTGGCTCTGGTAAGTTCAGAAGGCTGCCAGTCTCATAAAAAATGAGAGTGCCTGGGGGGAGAGACTGTGCAAAGTTCGCAGTTGTCAGAAAGATGAGTATCATTCAAATGGCTCTGAAAGAAAAGATGAAAGGGATCACATTGTAAGCTGTGGCGAGATTAGACTGTCGAAGCCACTAAACTCAAGATGAGGCAGCAGCTACAGCAGAGAAGATCGTGCACCAAAATTGGTAGTATTATGAGGATTTGGGGAACTTATTAGAGGGGGCAGAGTTGAATGGGCACTAATGTGCTGATGACTCACGTCTAGGGAACAAGTCAAAGCATAGCGACTGAAGACGTCCATGGAGGTGAGATGCCGTGTAACTGTAATATTCTCCTAGGGACAGGCATTGGGCTGTGGAGTGAGATTGGGTGACCTCTGCCCAGTAAACAAGCTCCCAGACATTGAGCTAACATAAGGACTGGGAATATGTCCACAAGGATTCTTAATGTATGCACTCAGGTTAGCTCTCGTTGTCTTTTTGTTGTTTTTCTAAATGCTGGAAATCAAGTCCAGAATCTTGCATATGCTAGGAAAGTGCTCTACCACTGTGTTGAAACTTTGGTCCTTTTCTTATCTTTTATTAAGGCTTTCCTTTGGATTAGAGACTAACATAGATGTGGGAGACCTTACAAATGCATGAGGTCTTTGAATTTAGTGTATTATAGATACTCAGGAAATACTTTATTGGTTCCAACATAATAGAGCTCACTCATCTCCGGCCAAGGCATTCTGTGGCAGTGGCCTTTAAAGGAGTAGGTGGAGCAAACAAACATTCAGAATGTCCCACAGTCATATATAGTGTTGGTTCATGACTGGGCTGCCTCTCTTCTGGGACAAGATTTCATCCTTTACTCCAAATGGATAAATGTGGAATGTTCCCTTGGCTTTGGGTAGGTACAGGCCATACCCCGGAGCATGACTGAGAGTTGTGGGAGCATTAAAATATGAAATCTGGGAAGGAGCTATTCACTCATTCTCCTCACTTCCCACATCCAGCACATTCTCTATTGTTCTGGCCTGTGCAGTTAGGGCTTGCTTAGTTTGCCTTATAAGGCTATTTCAGGGATTCAAGCTTTCACTATAGGAAGGTTTCCCTGCTGTTCTGACTGAATTGCTTTCTGCTTAATTTTAGTTCATTATGTCTGTGAAGACAGGGAGGGCTTTATGGGGCAAAAGGCCCAATCATTGTGGGAAGGATGAATCACTCCAAGAACTGGGAGATGGGCTGGAGGCAGCGGAGGGCCAGGAAGTTGGGGGTGGAAGGTTATTGAGAACTGCAGCAAATCTGTCTTCTCTTCATTCCTCCCACTAGGGGGTGCCCAGCATCCTTGAATAATGACTACTTTTAGGAAGTTGAGGTTCTATAGGGCACCTCCTAATAGAAGGGCACTGGCTGACCCAGCTTCCTGTATTTCTGCCATGAGTGGAGAAAAGGAGGGACATAGGAAGAAGGGGGAAGGGGAGGAGGAGAAGGTGGGGGAGAGGTCAACTTAGTAGTGGCATAAATGCCTCTTAAGCTTTTATTCCGGGGATACCCCGAGTTCTGCAGGACATTGATCTTATAGTCAGTGGCTGAAGTATCTGTGTACAAAGAAAGCCTGTTTGTGCCTGGGAAAAGTGGCAGCCTAAGACAGTGAAGAAGTTGTGGGCATGAGAAATACAGTAATGAAGCTAGGGACTGGTTCAAAGTTAGGAATGGAGTAAACATCAAAGGACGTGATGAGGCCAAGGAGAGGTACCCAGACCTTCAGATTTACCTCCTTAAACCTAGAAGGCATGATTTTTTTGTTTTGTTTTTTTGGTGGAAAGAATGTGGATCTTTGATCTTGGCAGTCATGAGTTCAAATCTCAGCTCAATCATTCAGTAGTCACATGACCTTGGGCACTCGGGCAAATTATACAACCTTTTTGATCTTCAGTTCTCTGCCCTTCTGCAGGGACAAGGCTTCATCTGTTTATTCCCAATGGGTAAATGTTTTCCAAATGGATGAATCCCATTGCCAAGGTGGGATTAATAAAAACACAGACTAAATAAATGTAATCTCCCCTCTTTCCTTGTTTGCCTAGTAAAGAACGGCCAAGGGCAAAGAAACATGTTCTTACTGTTAAGGTTCTGGTATCTTCAGGCTTTGGAGTTCCAGGGCTGCAACTCTGGGGCATCGGTGTCCTCCTCTGGGGTTTTTAGCAATGACAAACTTCGGTGAGTGTAGGGTATGCCTTCAGAGTCCTGGTCCCTCTGACTGCATCAGCAGTTTACCTGGGCTCATGTGGCAATATTTCAATTCTTTAGAGCATTGTTTCCCATAATAGAGGCCCTAGACCAGCACTAGCAGAGTGGCTTAATAAAAATGTGGATTCTGGGTCCTGCAATTGGCCTTTCTGAAATTTAAAAGCAATTATTTACAAAATTGTCAGCTCTAGGAAACATAATTTCTAAATCTGTCAGAGTGTGTTTTGTGGGGAGGAAGTTGGAGCTTTTGAGGAGACCATCACCATCTCCTTGTCCTCTTCTTCTTCCTCCTTTTCTTTCCTCTTTATTCTCCTTTTAAGGAAGAATGTTTTTGAAGGTTTTAAAAGTCGACCTACAAAAATTATATATATTTATGGACTATCATGGTGATAGTTCAATACATGTGTCCATTATGTAATGTTCAAAACTTTGTGCTGGAAACGTTGAAAATCCTTTCTTCTACCTTTTTTGAAACATACAATACGTTATCATTATCCACAGCTATCCTCCTGTGCAACAGCCCACCAAAATTTATTTCTCCTGTCTGTAACTTAGTGCCTTTTGATCAGCCTTTCTCCAGCCCTCCTGACACCTACTCTCCCCAGCCCCTGGAAACCACTATTCTGTTCTAAACCTCCATGAGATCAACTTTTCAGATTCCACACAGGAGTGAGATCATGCAGTGCTTTCCCTTTGTGCCTGGCTTATTTCACTTACCATAACATCCCCATCCAGTTCCACTGACGGGAGACTTCTTGTTGCTTTGAAAATCATCCCCTACAGGTGCTCTGACCCTGCTATTTATAGACTCAGTGCTGCCCTAGCTACTTACTTGCTTCCCCTAGAACTTCCTAAATGTTCACAGAAACAATTGCTGTGAAAGTCGCAGGAGACCATTTGTGTGAACACCTGATGAGACAAAGCTATTCAGAAACGGTAATGTGACTGATTCCTGAGCCACAATGATAACCCAGGCAGCAAACCTCACCGCCAGCCCCCAAAAGTCGTGGTGTCTGCAGCTTAAGCAGAGACTATTTAAACTGATGGAGGTGAAGCTCTGGACTTTTCTTCCTGGGGATTAAGTGGAACCAGGAAAAGGCTGTTCACCAGTTGTCACTTCCCCTGTGTAGCACTCGTTGCCAGACTAGCTGCATTTAGACTGAGGGTAGGGGCAAAAACTAGCCCTTCCATAAAACTATGGACTCTGACTTCTTGGTCCAGAGAAAGACAGACTCTGGACACTTTATACAGTGTTCCTCCAGGGGACAAAAGCTGTGGTGCCTGGCTTTTCCAAAGCATCACTATCTAGAACAAGACCTTTCTGAAAAATGGCGGTCACATGGGAAACACATTTTTGCCTGGTTCCTGCAGCTCTTGAGGCCAGAGGCTCACCCTTGGCTTCCGGGGGATCTCTGCACTGTAGAACTACAATGCGTGTTCAGAGCGAGCCAGGAGCTGCAGAAAGAATTTGCAATACGAATTCCTGTCAGTTTCATAGTGCTCAAAATAAGTCTAAAAATGCTGCCAGAAAGGCAGTTATTGCTATCTTAAATCCTTGTTGGAACAAAATGTGAAATAAAAACTAGTAAAATACAACAAAGCAAGTCATTGTGCAGCAAGCATTACTGTCCTGTGTACTTAGCTGGCCCCCTGGCTGGCTCCAGGAGGTCAGGAGCCAGCTGGGGAGAGCTGCTTTCAGCCTCCAACCTTGAGGCTGGGGTAGGACGGGCCGGGGAGAGGCTTTCACTCTATGAAAGGAGTGCTGGTGGGAAAGAGCTCCCCTCTATAAAGCAACATTTTTTGCCCTTCCGAATCTGTTCTTTCCTTTTCTGTTTTCTAGGAACTAGATGATCTGTCTGACTCAACTGGACATGGCTCCCTTCCCTAATTTATTGTTCCATTCCCAAGGCTTTCTCCGTTTGGACTCGGTGTGAACAGACAGGCACACAGCAGAAGGGATGCAGAGCCTGGCAACAAAGTCTCTCAGAGGCAGAGAGCCCTTCCCTGGGCACAAGCAAAGACCCACCCAGCACCTTTCCTGTCCTTCATCAGTCTTTGCTGAACCTGGAAAGGAAATGAATTCCAAAGGCAGGAAATGACTCAGCGACCTAACAATATATAAAAAACAGAGCAGGTGTTTCCGCCACTTTGTTTCAAACTATTCTAATCTGTGTCCCAGGAAGCCTAACCCATTGCCAGATGGAGATCTGTTTTTTTGGCATTGCCATTTCCAGCTGGTGACATTTGCACGTTTCAGAAGGCAAACCTGTCCCCCACATCTTCAGACTTGCGGAGAGGTGTGGTCCCAGGCAAGTCCTTGAGTCTCTGGCTGACAGCACCAATCACCCAATCTACTTCATCTGCAGCTGAATTGTTGCTGGACTCCAGCCTAGAACACAAGCATGCTGAGTCTGTTCTCAAAGATTTACAGGACCTGAAATCAAAGTGCCTGGTGCTGCCAGAAAAGGCTGGCTCCCTCACCAGCTTCATAATCCCTTCTTACCAGGCGCTCCTAAAGAAACTCGATGAGTCAGAAAGAAAGAAAATGTGTCTGAGGGAGATCTGTGGGGTGGGCTGGCCTCGTTCATTGCTTCTGAAAACTCTTGTCTGTGTTCCAGTGCCAGTCATGCTTAGGGGAGTGGTTTTACTTTTTCTCTTTCTTCCTCCATCAGCCCTCACTCTGAGAGACCCTTCATGTGCCATGCTGGCGATTAGCTCTGCAAAAGCACGCGGCCCTCTGACAGAGAGTGAGTCACTGCTTCAAAGAAGTGTAGACTTCGCTTTCATCCATAGGAGCAGGGTAAGAAAAGCTTCCACTCCTACTTCTATGAGGAACCATCACTCAACTGCTTTGTTCTAGCCTGAGGGTATGTACTTTTCACAGGCTTTTAATTTTTACTGAAAATTATCCATCAGGCTTCCCACCAAAGCCTGGGTGCCAGCTGGAGTCTGCACACATCAAAGTGGCTTCTGGGATACCTGCTCCAAATGGGAATCCCCCCACCATTCGAAAGTAGCTGTAGCTGCATGAATGAAGTGTTCAAAATGCTAAGCAGAATAAAGTTTAAAGAATACAGTGTATTTATTGACATCTGACTGACAGAAAAGCCCCAGCAAATGAAAGGGAGGAGAGGAAGAAACAGGTTCAGAATAGGGCACTATCGAATTCTGGCATATACTGAATTCCAGCATCAAACGTCTATTCTTCTGTGCAGAGTCACTCTCCTCTACTATCTAAAATTGTGTTCTGTTTATTATGAAATTAGTTTTTAAAAGTGTCTTCCGATAAGCTTGGATTTATCCCTAAAAGGCAATATGAGCTCTGTTACAAAACAGTAGCTTAATATCAAAGATAGGTTGTGTCAACTGTATGTAGCTATTAGTACATAGTAGATAAAAGAAGCTAGAAGAGCTTCATGAACACAAATGTGGCCGTATTTCCTCTATGTATAGAAAATGGGCTAGACAAAAGCTAGGAACAGGAGACAGATGATATCTTTTCACCTATTGACATCAGCCAAGCTGGATAAATAGCTCATGTGATGATAATAACAACCTTCATGAAGAAGAGAAAGTATTAACTCAGGAGAAAACAAGAGTTTTTGAATTCAAGCCATGGTTAAGCCTCAAAGAACTGCTGTCAAAGTCCCTTCACATGGTTCCAGAGACTTTGGACTATAATAACAAGAATTCAGAGTGATTGAAATAAATATAAATGGACAGAAAAATCAACACGATTAAGATGAGACTGAGGATGGTTAACAATTAACAAGGAAAGTACCAAATTATATCTACTGTTGTACTACTTTTAATCTAATTAAAATCATACTTAAGAACTGTGTTTTCACTTAAATATATACAATAGAGCAAAAGCATCTGTCATGTTCTCTTTGACACCTGTTTTGGATGCTTGGCCATTAGGAGCCCTTTAGTCCTCTACTGTGTTCACAGATAAAGACTAAAAAGGGAATATAGAACATCGCAAACATTAGCATAAGAGACTTTGGACTTGGACTTTCCAGCAATGCTGAAATTATTAGGACTTTGGCAACTCTTAGAGATGAACTAATTGTATTTTACATAAAGTGATGAGTATGAGTTTTTTGGAGCCTGGGGCAAAAATGTTATGTTTTATATCTAGATGTCCCCGCAAAGCCTCATGCTCTTAAAGATAGGACTTTTGGAGGCGACTGGATCATGGGGTTGTGATAGTTACCAGCGGATTAGCCCACTGATGATTTGTAGCTCAGTGTGATATTGGGAGGTGAGGCTTGGTCAGTGGTGATCACAGAGGGTGCAATTTGAAAAGATGTTTTGCTCTATTTTTCCTCCCTAATCTGTTTTCCACCTGCCATGGCATGAGCAGTTCTCCTCTGCCATGCTGCCCTGCCTTGGAGCTAGCTGACTCTGTGCTGAAGTCTCTGCAAAATAAACCTCTCCTCCCTTAACCCATGGGTATCCGGTATTCTTTCTCTAGGAGAGAAAGTAACTAAACCATACAGCTTCTCAAAGAGTAGTTTAGCAGTGAGAAGTCAGAGCTCCAAACCATGACGGTAATGCTTAACAGCAGGTTTAACAGTGGTTATTGTTGGACATTTCCAGTAGATTCTCGTATTTTGAGAAATAGAACCAAAAGCAGAAAAAGACAAACTCATAGGTGTGCCACAACATTTTAAATGTCCAGGGAAGCAGAGGGATTCTTAACATCTATTGGACAGCAAATGACCTCCTACTCAAAGGAATCAAATGTAGTTTACAGCTCCAGCATGAGATCGTGCTGCATTTCTTTCAAAGGTGTCTTATCTCTGAGAAGGTAGATACTCAGTAGTCATAAAATACAAGCACCAATAGAAATCAGTGTGGAAGCAGACCATAAAGGTCCTAAGGTTTGTGATGATATCTGGTACCCAGATGACATACACATCTTTTTATTTATTTTTTTAATTTTATTTTGAAAGTAGTAAAAATGCAACAGTACAAGACAGAACAAAGCCAATCGAGACAATGCAGTGAAATTGGTACAGGATTTCACAGTAGGATACTGGGATAGTAGTAATATGTAGTATGGTATATCTCTTTAACTTCACAATATTTATCCAGTCAATTAGGTATAGCAAAATCAAACCAAAAACAGAGCATTATAAAACCAATTAAGAATACTGAATAGAGCAAAAGAAACATAACAAAACAGTGAAAACAACCTTTGCCTTCAAAGAGAAGATAGAAGGAACTCCCCCATATTTGCTATACTGCATATGGTCATCCTCCCAAGAGATGCTGAGACATCTATCCCAGTAGCTATGGAGGAGGGCAGGGGAAGGGTGCTTGGTTTTCAGCTTGCGTGGCAGTAGGCTCACAGATATAATGGTTCTCCTCCAGGCCCACGCCATGGTGTTTACCAAGAGGGCGAGTGAATAAGCCACCTGATTCACACCATGGCCGTATCTCCGCATCCTTGTGTTTAATTCCAGTTCAGTTAAGAATGAAATAAAAAAGAGTTTGCTTTCAGTTTGTGTGTATTATTTTTTTTAAATAGTTCAGTTACTAGGATCTAACCACTAGATAAATATGTTAGGTAAATAATCTAGGAGTTCTGTGAAAAAAAATTACAGAGACATTAAAATACCATCAATTAAGACATTCTGGGAATTCTGTTTAGAGCAATATGAATTATACCCAATGAGCAAAGCTTAAGCTTTTTTTGATTTCTTTCCATGAACTTTATTTATTCATTTATAGTAGTGCACTACATATTGCCATACATGAAGATCACATTCATGCAATTTTTACCTGGATATAAATGTATCTTAATTTTCTTATGCTCACATTCTCTCCTCCTCCCTTCAGTATCCCCCTCCCATTTACAAAATATTTGTTTCCGTTTTTCCTTGTATTCTGTTTTCATAAATCTGATTCCCTTCCTTCCCTTTCTCCTCCTCCTCCATTGATCCCTTTCTCCCTACTTCCCAATATCTAGCCTCCATTTTTCTCCTTCCTTACCCTTTGGGTTTCTGATACAAGAGAAGTGGTATTTAAACTTGTGAGTCTGATTTATTTCATTTAAAATTATGGTAATGAGGTACATACACTTATTTAATTTTATTTCAAAGAGAAAAAAACAAAAACACTTCAAAAAATTCAAAATCAGGTAATACGAGCATAAGAATGGTCCCTACATTGCATACGGTCATCTTCTAAGTAGTTGCTCAGAGTATACGATATAGGCATAAAAAATTGACCAAACAAATAGCACAAACCTTTCTTTACAATGAACTAAGAGAAATTTGTAGTGTAACTATCTTAACTGTCTTCTATATATTTTTTCCTTTTCCCTTCCCTTTTTTTCTCCTTTCCCCCATTCCAGTTTCTTTCCTTTTAAATAGTCTCTTCACATTTCAAAATATCTGTTGTATAGTTTAGATCTTATTTACTCTTTAAATTTCTCACACTAGGGAAACAGTACAATATTGACACACTTGAGTCTGATTTGTTTCACTTACGAATATGGAGTTTTGGGGTCAAGTTGCATTTATTTACCTAAGTCTCAAGTTTATTCTCCTTTATGGCCAAGTAGTACTCCATTGTATGAAAATATCGCATCTTTTTTTTTTTTTCCTGGAGAGTGGGTATATCACATCTTTTTTATCCATCCCTCACTTGATGGACATTTGAGTTGTTTCCAAGATTTAGCTATTACAAATTGTGTTGCTATAAACATAAGTGCACTTATATTGCTGTGGTATCATGTTTTTAATTCTTCTGGGAAGATACTCAGAAGAGGAATAGCTGGGTGAAATGGAACTTCTAATCCTAGTTTTTTGAGGAATCGTCTCACTGATTTCCAGAGTGGTTGCACCAGTCTACACTTATGTCAAGAGTAAGAAGTGTTCTTTTTCCCCACAACCACTCCAGGATTTGTTGTTGGTTGACTTCTTGATGATAGTCAATCTCTGGGGTGAGATGGAATCTCAGTGTTGTTTTAATTTTCATCTCTCAAGTGAGCAATGATGTTGAACATTTTTTTCATGTATTTATTTGCCATTTATGTCTTTATCTGAGAAGTGTGTATTCATCTCAGATGCCCATTTTTGGATATTATTTGAATTTGGGGGACTTGATTTTTTCCCCCAATTCTTTGTATGTTCTAGACAGAAGTCCTTTGTTTGAGGGATAGTTGGCTAAAGTTTTTCCTACTCTGTAGGTTTTATTTTCATTCTGTTGGTGATTTATTTTGATATGCAAAGGCTTTTAAATAAGATAAGATCCCATTTTTTATTCTTTGTAGTGTTCCCCATGTGGTATGGAATTTGTTCATGAAGTGTCTGCATATACTTATGCCTTCAAGATTACTACTTATTTTCTCTTCCAGTAGATTTAGTGTTTAGATCCATGTTGATCCATCTTTGATCCATGTTGACTTTCCTTCAGTGCATGGTGATAAACATGTATCTAGTTGTAGTCTTTGGCATGTGGAGAGCCAGCTTTGCCAGAACTGCTTATTAAAGGGCCTATCTTCCACTGCATATGGTTTTTTTGTTTTTGTTTTTGGTGCTGGGGATTGAACTCACAACTTTGTGCTTGCCAGGCAGGCACTTGTGCCACTGAGCTAAATCCCTGGCCATTGAACATGTTTTGCCTCTTGGTCAAAGATAAGGTGACCAAGTGTGTTTGTAATTGTGTCCACATCTTTTAGTCTATCCCATTGATATGTTTCTTTTTGTCAGTACCATGCTCATTTTATCACAGTAGCTTTGTAGTATAGTTTCAAGTCAGAAATTGTGATGTCTCCTGCCTTACCTTTGTTGCCCAGGATTACCTTTGCTATTCTAGGTCTATTCCAGTTCCAAATGGATTTTAGGAATGTTTTCTTTGTGGGGTATACTAATGGTATTTTGATTAATATTGCATTAAATGTGTATAATAGTTTTGGGAGTGTGGCCATTTTTACAATGTTGGTTCTTTGTATCCATGAACAAGGGATATTTTACATTTTCTGAGATCGTCTTTAATCTCTTTTTTTCAGAGTGCTATAATTTTTAGTGTATAAATCTTTTATTTCCTTTGTTAGACTGACCCCTAAGTATTACATTATTTTGGATGCTATTGTGAAGGGTTTGGTTTTCCTAATTTTTCTCTCAGTGAGTTTTTTGTTTGTGTACAGGAATGCTATTGATTTCTGTGTATTGACTTTGTATCCAGCTACACTCCTGAATTTGATTACTAAATCTAGAACCTTTTTGGTGAAGTTTTTGGGGTCTTCTATGTAGAGTATTACATAATTTGCAAATAATGATAGTTTAATTTTTTCTTTTTTTTCCTATCCTTATTCCTTTTATTTTTTCTCTTGTTTAATTGCTCTGGATAATGTTTCCAGAACTATATTGAAGAGGAGTGGTGATAGTGGACATCCTTCCCTTACTCCTGATTTTAGAGTGAAAGCTTTCGGTTTTTGTTCATTTAGTATGTTAGCTGTTGGTTTGTCATGGACAGCTTTTATCAGATTGACGTAAAGATCATCTATTCCAAGTTTCTTCAGGTTTTTATAATGAATGGATCTCAAACATTGTCAGATGCTTTTACTGCATCTGTTGAAATAATCATGTGATTTTTGTCTTTGGTTCTGTTAATATGGTGTGTTACAAATATGGTGTGTCACATTTATTGATTTGTGTATACTGAACCATCCCTTCATCCTTGGGATGAATCCTACTTGGTTGTAGTATACAATTTTCTTGATGATTTGCTGCATTCTGTTTACCAGTATCTTTATAAAGAATTTTTTGCATCTATCTTCATTAGGGAGATTGGTTAGTAGTTTTCTTCTCTGGTTGGGTAC